AGACAGACCCAGCCTCATAGTCTTTGTTCAATATTCACCCATGCAGGGGGCACTGGTTAAGCACCTACTGTGTGCATGGTCGCAAAGCTGGGTGGAAGGACACACCAGACAGGAGTCCCTGCCTTGTGGGGTTGATGGGGCAAGACAGCTTTGGAAACAACAGGCCACAGTGAGGCAGGGAGAAGTCACAGTGGCTGCTCCCACGCCACCCCGACCCCCCAATGCACAGAAAAGCACTGTCCGGGCTCTGCCAACCCCCGATGGTTGGCTGCCGACCGACCCCTTGTGATCCATGTGGTTCCACAGCCTGCTTTTCGGAAGTGGATCTCCAGGCCTTTCTTCCTAGTCTGCCTTCCTCTCTAACGGGTGCGTAGCTGCCAGGCGCATCCAGTCCATTCCAACCCCTCGTGACCCGATGCACACAGCAGAACAAAGCCGCCCCGTCCTGCACCAGCCTCACCATCGCTCCCATGCCTGAGCTGAGCCCACCGTGGCCGCCACGGTGTCTGTCCATCTCCTCAGAAGCCATCCGCCCCTCCACGGCCCCTGCACTTTCCCAAGCATGACGGCCTTCTCTGGGTACCGGCCTTTCCTGACAACCCGTCCAAAGCACTGAGACCGACCAAGCAGTGCTACTCTGGCTGTCCTTCTGCCCAGATGGATCGGTTTGTCCTCTGAGTGGTCCGTGGCACTTCCCGCATTCATCCATGGCCGGGCACCTTTTCTTCTGCCAAGAGCCATTTGCATATTTCTCACATCGTTCAAGGGCCATCCTGGTGAGACATCGAATGAACTCGTGCACCCCTAATGCGAGGGCGAAGAGCCCGGGTGACGCGGTGGTTATACATGGGGGCTGCTAACTGCAAGGTGGGCAGTTTGAAACCGCCAGCTGCTCTGAGAAGAGAAAGAGCAGCTTTCTCTCCCATAAAGAGTTACGGTCTTAGACTCTCACAGGGGGCAGGTCTGCCCCTAACCCTGCAGGGTCCCCAGCAGTCGGTATTGACTCGATGTCAGCGCGTTTGGCTTTTGAATGTGATGGCTGGAACGTGGCCTCTTTGGGGAGGTGCATGACGTTCGCTGGTATTGATTATGCCTCGGGCCTTATACAGTGCCACCCCACCCCACCCCTGCCTGCTGGACGTTCCTCATCCCTGGTCTAGAAGTCCCAAAGGCGCCTGCCCAGCCTGCGGGGTACGTGGTAGGCAGAAGGCGACTGTAGACATTCATGAATATTTGCTGAACCCTCCCAGCACGTTGCCCCTGACCTCTCTTGGGGTCAGGATCGCCACTGTCGGAACCCACTCAAGTGAGGCCCCCACTCTGTGAACCCCTCATTCGGACAGCCCCTCCGTGTCCCCCCACACACACCTATCACAGCCCCTCCATGT